TTTCCACACACACACCTCCCATGTTGCCCCATGAGGAAGAGACAAAGGGAACAACAGGGCAGAGAAGTGCGGGGACTTCCCCCTGTTATGGTACTCACCCTGACACGCAGGTGGATTACTTCACGGTGATTACCGGGGTTGCGGGGGCCACTCCGCTGGTTGATCACCCTTCGTCGACCTTCTTTCAGGACCGAGCAGCCGGGGGCCTCACTTGCTCACCTTTCACCCACGAGTTTTAAAAAATGCCTCACACGGGGCACCACTCTGTGAGGTCTGCCACTGGCCGACCCGAACAGTGCTAGCCTCGTTCCTTTCGGTGGGCGAGCGAATGGCCCAGAATTCCTATTTCTCTCCAGTCCCCTTTAGGAGGAGATGAGGGAAGATAGCTGTGAAGAGAGGTGAGCACAACCGCCGGCCCCAAACCAGCCCGGTTAAAGGACACTCAGAGGCAGCGGGGGTTCTGTCGAGCAGCAGTTCCATTTATTATCACACAAGCACTTGATTTTATAGGCAGATGGGGAAGGGAGGTTTTTTACATAATCCTATCAGCTTAAAGGTCAAGGGCATGCATCCTGTCTCAATGCCTAGCTATTGCAACCATGCAGTGTTCACAAGCGCAGAAGCACGTATTTGACCAATAAGGGCTAAGGCAAGGCTCCCACAGCCACCCCCACCCTACTTCCTCCCAGTGCTGTCTTAGGCTGCCACATTAATACGCCCTTGTGGGCCCATAATGGCGCCACTCGTAATGTCACTTAAGGTGGCATTAGTTTTTAAGGCCTGACACTGCAATATTTCAAATGCTTCAGAAAGCTATTCTTTTTTTTTTTTTTTTTTTTAGTAAGAGAGCTGCAACTTCAACATTCAAAGCATAAACTCTATTCCCACCTTCATCAATTACATTTTTTTTTAAGTAAGAGAGCTGCAACTTCAACATTCAAAGCATAAACTCTATTCCCACCTTCATCAATTACAAAAGAGATTATCACTCATACATTTAAACTTCTGAGAAATTGTTTGGATACTGAGCCCTGTGACCAAATGAAGATTAATACTCATCCTGAACAGTCCCTTCCATTTCCTTGTGTTGTTAGCATCAGATTATTTGTCCTTTAATCATTGAAGCAAATAAAGAAATTAAAGATAGCAGAGATGCATAGGCAGTTCATCGTACCTTTCAGCCAAGTGGTCTAATTCTCCCTTGGACTGTCTGATAGTATATAATATTTATTTGTTTATTTTATTTTATTAAAGTATAGTAGATGAAAATTCTATATGATATTTAGATGGTGCATTTAGTAATAAAGGGTCATAAAGTAGCCTCATGATGGAATACTCTATCTTTCCAAGTTCCCAGTAGGACTTTTGGCATATAATGAAGCTCATATTTTTTTGTTTCAAATACCAGTCTCAATTTACCTTGTTTTGTATTTCATTTTCTTTCCCTTACCTCATTAGTGATTGCACTTGCATTAAAGTGATTAGTGGAAACAAGGGTATCTTACCTCTAGCATTTTTTCCCTCATTCAGTGTCTCTATTTCAATACATTTTGCCAGTATCTCAGGGGTCAAAGCTATATCATGCAAAGTTTATGGATACCATTTATCTCTGGCAATCTGTTCTAGAGCTTTTGATACTCTAAGTCAAGGGTAGGGTGACAACCATTTGGCATTAAAATCTCATCAGATCATCAATACTCATTTTTTTTCCCCAGAGTGCTTCTGCCATATTGATTTTAGGGTATGAAAATCAATCTCATATCTTATATACTTGACAAGCATCATTGCTCTAGGGTTCAGGGTTTAGGGTTTTTGATCTGGGTTAAGGGAAGTGAGACTTGAATTCTAAAAATTTCCATCCTTAGGTAACTCTTCCATGACATCAATCTCATTTAATTTCTTTCAATATATATGTATGTATGTATATGTATATGTATATATGTATATATATGTATATGTATATATATGTATATATATATGTATATGTATATATGTATATGTATGTATACATGCACACTGTATATATATCACTATATATGTATGTATGTATGTATGTATGTGTGTGTATATATATATACACACACACAGTATATAGCCAATTTCAGAGCATAGGAATATTGGAAGATGAATCAGTGAAAGTCATGTGAAACACAATATTTCTTATAATTTGTAATGCAGGCTTCATCAAATATAAAAAATAAGAGTCATCTCAATTATATTCTGATACTTGACCCATTTTATGTTAGACATACAGCAAAATTTTTATCCTTCTTCTATGAATCACACAAAATGCAAATTGTTTCAAGATTTTTCCATATGTTGAAAAAAGCATAAGAATAGTATCTCTTTAGTTTAGCTTAGGCTAAGTAGAGAAATTGCAATGCAGTTAGTGAGAAGCTGCATGTCACATCTCCATGGGAGAATTTCTCTGGAGTATTTACCAACTATATGGATTTCTGAGTCATGAGACATGCATATTCCTAATTTGACTGAGTACCATCAGATTGCACTGGCTCATTCCCATGGCACCAGCACTTGCTGATCATTAAGCCTGAAAACAACATTTCAAGATTTTCAGGAGTTATTCTCATGTGGCCTGGAAGAAAATAAAACACTACATAGAATAAATTCAGGGTTAGAATTCTTTGACTTGATTATTATCACTTAAATACATTTGAGAAGGCTTCTGAACAATTCATTGATTAAATATTCTGTGGAGCCCAAAGTAGGTGTATTGCCTGAGGGGTACTGAGAACAATGCAACTCTTGAATTTACTCTCTATATTAAATAAATGCATAGAACTACTTGGGGGAAAAAAGATAAAATGCAGTGTGCTCTCGATATACTACAGATTTAGTTTTATTTTCAAGTAGATTTAAGTATTCGGCTGTATAGAAAATATAGATTCCTGCCCCTTCAAAAGCTTGCTGCATTAGAACTCTACAGACCGAGAAAAATATCATGTTGAAGCTTAGTAAAAATAAAAGTTTTCAGAAGTTGTCCAAAGCATAACTTGTACATACAATTTCCTGAATGAGAAAGTACTTCTCTCCTAATCGACAGTTTATTTATCAGGTTTAATCTACATGTTTAGTCATAAAAACTGTCTTCTTTCCATTACATTGATTCACTGAAAAAAAAATTATGAAAGCCCTACTACATAAACTCTACAGTTCTGAGTGCTGGAAATATAATGGTGAAAATAAAATAGACAGTGCCTATTTTTAAACATATAAATAAATACACATAACCATAGATCTATAAAGGGATAGATATCTTCAGTAGTTTTTATTGAACCCACGAAACTATAACGTAAAGTTACATAACAATGAATTAGTCATGATAAATCTTAAGGTATCATGAAGAGAAAAGCAAACCCTTGTATTCTAAGTGAACGTTAGCATTCCTCTATCCTACTTTTATTCCCCAGATGATTCTGAGGAGGAAGAGCCCACTGAGTCACTTCAGGTATCTTAAGCAAAAAGAGAATGCACATCCACTAGAAATTGGTGATTATGTATTCAATAATTTCTATAATTGTAATCATACTGGCCCCACAAAATAGACCCAGCTGACTGCCAACATTTGCTGTAATAAAACCAACAAGAAAATTGAATGTCATTGTTTTTTCCATAAAAAGCAAATTAAACATTATTAGAAGTTAAATTA